TATACTATTAATGTATCTTTATATTCTCAGTATCAAAACATTTCATCAAAAATATATAAGTTCCGGCTATATCAAGTATACTGGTCATCTTAGCATTGCGCGCACGCGCACCTGCATGCATGTTCATAATGACCATGCCATCTTGTCTACACTTATAATATGTCTGTTTATTCTTAGTATCAAAGCTTTTCATCCAAAAATATAAAAGTTTCGGCTATATTAAGTATATTAATCATTTAACACATTGCACGCGCGGGCATGTGCATGCGTGTGCATGATGTCCACATCATCTTGTCTACACTTGTAATATATCTGTATATTCTTAATATCAAAGCTTTTCATCAAAAAATATAAAAATTACGACTATATTAAATATATTGGTCATTTAACACATTGCATGCGCGCGCACGTGCATGCATATGCATGCATGTGCATGATGACCATGTCATCCTGTCTACACTTTTAATATATATAAATATTTTGAGAATCAAATCATTTCATCAAAAAATATAAAAGTTACGTCTATATCAAGTAAATTGGTCATTTTACGATTTGCGCGTGCGCGCACGTGCATGCATGTGCATGTTGACCATGTCATCTTGTCTACACTTTTAAGATATCCTTGTATTCTGAGTATCAAAGCATTTCATCAAAAAATATAAAAGTTACAGCTATATCATGTATATTGGTCATTTTACGCATTGCACGCGCACGCACGTGCGTGCACGTGCGCGCAAAATGACCTTCGTTCCGCAAATCTACATAACATACCTAGTAACCCTAAAAAGGTTTTAACTCAATTGGATGTGCAGTTTCCGAGAACACTCGCGGACAAAAAAGTACCGGAGAAGAAATAAGAATAAAAAAGAATAATAACTAGTATTAATTGTAACGGGGACCGTTACAGATGTTCCCCAAACGCTCCCCAACTCCCTTTTGGTGTCTTATTTCCTGTAAGCTTCATTAAATAAGGCAATTAAATATATTGGTCATTTAACGCATTTCACGCGCGCGCACGTGCATGCATGTGCAGGTTGACAACATCATTCCGTCTGTACTATAAATGCATCTTTATATTCTCAGTATCAAAACATTTCATCAAAAAATATATAAGTTCCGGCTATATCAAGTATATTGGTCATCTTAGCATTGCGCGCACGCGCACCTGTATGCATGTTCATAATGACCATGCCATTTTGTCTACACTTATAATATGTCTGTTTATTCTTAGTATCAAAGCTTTTCACAAAAAAATATAAAAGTTTCGGCTATATTAAGTATATTGGTCATTAAACACATTGCACGCGCGCGCATGTGCATGCATGTGCATGATGGCCACATCATCTTGTCTACACTTTTAATATATCTGTATATTTTTAATATCAAAGCTTTTCATCAAAAAAATATAAAAAGTACGGCTATATTAAGTAAATTGGTCATTTAACACATTGCACGCGCGCGCACGTGCATGCATATGCATGCATGTGCATGATGATCATGTCGCCTTGTCTACACTTTAAATACATATAAATATTTTGAGTATCAAAGCATTTCATCAAAAAGTTTCAAAGTTACAACTATATCAAGTAAATTGGTCATTTTACGCTTTGCGCGTGCGCGCACGTGCATGCATGTGCATGTTGACCATGTCATCTTGTTCATACTTTTAATATATCCTTATATTCTGAGTATCAAAGCATTTCATCAAAAAATATAAAAGTTACAGCTATTTCAAGTATATTGGTCATTTTACGCATTGCACGCGCACGCACGTGCATGCGCGTGCGCGCAAAATGACCTTCGTTCCGCAAATCTACATAACATGCCTAGTAACCCTAAAAAGGTTTCACCTCAATCGGATGTGTAGTTTCGGAGATCACTCACGGACAAAAAAGTACCCAGGAAGAAAAATAATAATAATAATAATAACTAGATGAGATCTCGTTGCGAGCAACGAGTAGGTCTTCCGTCCGATTTTTCGAAAAGATGAGATATGATTTTGACTATGATCTTTGTCAAAAGATAAAAATTTATAGACTTCCCTAATTAGATTTCATTCTTTTGATTTATATAACATTATCAAAGAGCTATAGATGACATGATTTTGGCCCCTCTGAGCCCCTAGTTTTATGGGTCAGCCCCTTTTTCTTGATATCAATTGAAAGGTCTTGTGATTTTAAAAACGTTTTCTTCAAGAAATATTCAGAGATTTCTTTTCGTTGTGGAGATATGCTGAATGGAAATATTTAAGGGCCATCCCTAAAAGTCCTAAATGGGGCCGTTTGACAAAAATTGAAAGGGTGCGTATTGTTTAGAACATTATTCTGACCATCTTTTGTTTAATATTGCTTATCAAAATATTCCACCTTTTCGAGATATAAAGCGTCAAAGATGTAGCATTCTGGCCCCTTGTGACCCCTTATACGTAACATATGATCAGAATCTTATCATATATTGTTGTAAATCGTTAAGATAAGCATGTTTGCTTCAGTAATGTATTACAAATTATTGATCGTTAAGGAGTTATAGATGAAAGACTTTTGGCCCCTCTGGGCCCCTAATTTGAGGAGTCAGCCCCTTTTTCTTCATATCAAATGAAAGGTCTTGTGATTTTGAAGAATTTTTGTTCAACAATTATTCAGATATTTCTTTTCGTTGTGGAGATATGCTGAATGGAAATATTTAGGGGCTGCCCCTCCAAGTCCTTATTGGGGCCGTTTGACAAAAATTGAAAAGGTGCATATTGTTAAGAACATAATTCTGACTATCTTTGGTCTGTATTGCTTATCAAAATATTCCCCCTTTAAAGATATAAAGCGTCAAAGATTCAGCATTCTGGCCCCTTTTGACCCCTTGTTACGTAACGTATGATCAGTATCTTATCATAAATTGTTGTAAATCGTTAAGATAAGCATGTTTGCTTCAGTAATGTACTACAAATTATTGATCGTTAAAGAGTTAAAGATGAAAGACTTTTGGCCCCTCTGAGCCCCTAATTTGAGGGGTCAGCCCCTTTTTCTTGATATCAAATGAAAGGTCTTATCATTTTACACATCTTTTGTACTACATGTTTTAACAAAATATTTACAGGTAAAAAGATATAAAAGAAAACGTGTCAAATTTTGCGAGATATTTGTGAGCCTATTTTTCGAGCCCAGGCGAGCTTCAACGCCATTTCAGCTGGAAAGATATAGATGCCCATTTGCACATCAACAATCTTTCCTCTATCTTCACTGAAAATCTTAACTCAATAGCTTTAGTCGTTCAGGAGGAGTTTCCAGGACAAGCCGACCCTCTGAAAATCAGAAAATCGTCAATATCTCACGACCGGAAGTGACGTCATCAAAAAACAAAAAAACCTATCAAGATCAATTGAATATCTTTTACATCTGAAAGTTTGGTATAAATCGGCCCAGCCGTTTCTGAGAAATCGCGTGCACAAAATCGGTTGGAAGAATAATAATAATAATAATAATAATAATAATAGGGAAAAAGAAACCGAACGAAAACAATAAGGTCTTCCGTTGGAGACGGAAGACCTTAACTAGTGCTAATTGTAACGGGAACCGTTACAGATGTTCCCCAAACGCTCCCCAACTTCCCTTTTGATCCTATTCTCTACAAGCTTCACTAAAGGCAGCTGTTTAGATTAAATAAATCTTAAATATTTAAGAAGTATTTTATTGGCAAGCAACGGCGTACCATGTGAATAGCAATATTCAGAAAAGACAGTTTTCCTATTCAACAAGAAATAAAAAAAAAAATACCACTCACACGGCGTACCATGTGAGTGGCAATATTCAGAAAAGACTATCTTCCTCTGTAAACAAAACAAAACAACAACAAAACACTTGCAAGGCGTACCATGTGAGTGGCTGTATTTAGAGGGCTCGTAAGAGTGTATTCAGTTAGATAGTTTTCCTTTTAATGAAGAAATAAAAAAAAAATACCACTCACATGGCGGACCATGTGAGTGGCAATGTTCAGATATGGCTGTCCCCTTACTATTAGTTTACTTTGACATTAGTAAATTATAGTTGATTAAAACACTGGCCCTGCATCAGACAGCCTGCATTACTGCAATAGTGTCTTGATGTCTATACATGAAACAAGCTGTCGTCCTATGAGAATCCTTGATAAGACAGATAAAAACACAAAGTGCAGCTCGAGACATACTAGATTTTGCAATTTGTCGGAAACATGGTTAAAAAAGAATCTTTGCCTTTCATTTTTTTCAACATGACACTGTTTCGGCTAGTGAAGGCTCATCAGGTAGCCTAGCAGACGACAACAATGACATTCTGTATATTTTATATTTTTGCCGTACAAGGGCTCATCAAGACGCCCAAATGACACCGAAAAGTCTTGATGTACGACACTGTTTTCTCCTTTCAGAGCTCTACATGCCAAGCAGAAAAATAATCCTCTCGCGTTAGAAAAAAAAAATACCACTCACACGGCGAACCATGTGAGTGGCGGTGATTATAAAAATGACTGCCTGACTATTTCTCCATTGTTTTAACCTGTGAGGCCTATGCCGCATAACAGACAAAAACATTGCCTTATGTCTTAAATGTATATAACAACACTGTTTCGCCCTGTAAGGGCTCATCAGGCCGTCTAGCAGACGACGACAGTGGTTTTTATTATTATTATTATTTTTTTTTAACATAATGTTTTTTTTCCTCTCTAAATCAATCAACATGTATGACACTAAATGTACAATAAACACATTTTCTATATTACAATGGACATGAATTATATAAAATCTGTATATACATCTATCTTTCTTATCGCGCATCTGTCGAACATTTTGAGTAATAAGTTGCACAATGTTTTTTCTCTCTTAATCAATTAACATGTATGACAATAAATGTACAATAAACACATTTTCTTTATTATAATGGACATTAATTATATAAAATCTGTATATACATTTTTCATTCTTATCGCGCATCATTCTGACGAACAGTTGTTACAATAACATTGCCTCATATATTTTACAATTTGATAGAAATCGCATCATGGAAACTATAATACAAATGTTCAATTGTCACTTTTGGATCTTCTGAGAAGTCTTTTGCATATACCAAGTCGAGACAAGAGCCAGCTTCTGTCGTTGGATTGTTCACAAGTTGTTGATAGCCATAGCCTGTAAACAACGCTTTCAGGGACGGTTTTCGTAAGTAGTTGCCATTGAAATCGCCCAAAATCAACACTGGGGAGGATATTTCCTGATTGATTTGGGATAATAGAGAGGTGATGTTGGTTTTAAACTTGTCCATTGGATATATCGGAGGTCTGTATATCACGAACACCGCAACAACTGTTGGTTCTAATACTAGTATTGATGCACACTCTATGTCCTTCACGCTACCTGTGTACCTGGTATGTTTGACATCTTTTGTAAATATCGCCACTCCACCCCGTGACTGTAATTTTAGTTGTCGAAAAATGGGATCAGAAGATGTGTATGCATCCTCTCGATAGACTGCATAAACATCTGAGTTTGGAACCAAGGTGGGTGATACATAGTCTTTCTTGTTAAGCCAAGTTTCTGTGAAACATACAATTTGGAAGTCATTAACAATACAAGCGTGTTCAATGTCTTTCTTGTGTGAAAGAAGACCTTCGGTATTATGCAACAATAATTTTAGGCTATACTTCTTGTCTTCTACAGCATTTTGTCGGAGGAATTTTGGCATGTTATCAAGCGATTCCTTGATTTCCGCTGATGCAAAAATGCAGTCTGTGTCAAGATGAAGTATATTGAGTCCTTGTAGTGTAGTTGTTCTACTTAATGCCACATATGCCATTCCTGGTTGGAATATTTTTTGAAGCGATACAACAACTTGTGTTGTTGTCATTCCTTGAACTTTATGAATCGTCGCCGCCCAACCTAGCTTAAGTGGCAATTGTCTTCTGACAGCATTACGTCCTACGAGAGCATCTTCATGTGGCGTTATACGGACAGCTCTTTCTGATCCTTGTACATTTGAAACCGTTGTAGAAATGGCTTTTTTGCCAATAGTTTTGTTATCAAATTGTATGTACACTGCTTCAATGTCGTTTCCTTTATGTTGTATAGCAGATACCGTGCCAAAAGCCCCATTAACAAGACCATCTTCTGTGTCAATGTTTCTTGTTAGCATAATTCTTGCATTGATTCCAAGTTTTATTACGCCTGGCAGGTCTTCAGGCGATGAGGAGGAATACGGTAGTTTTCGCAAGAGCAGGGTACCTGACGTGCTTTTTGTGTAGTCTTTGGCAGTTGAGTGAAGACATGGGCTGCAGACTGTTTCTACCATCAGTTCATTGTGTGTATCCACTTCCTTATTTGTTGAGAATATATGCAATGCATTTGTGGCTTCTTTTGGAATTGTCTCTTTAGAAACCGACTGAAGGAGTTCTAAGTCAGTTTGTTGCAATGGTTCTCCCCGCAATCGAACTCTTAGGCGATTTAACATTTCTGCAAATTGTACATCTTCTTTTTGACGCATGACTTCGAACAGACTGGCAATTTGGAATAATGGATTCCAGAGATCTAAAATTATAGAATCCTTGATTTTGTACAGAGGAGAAGCCTTCACTGGAGGGAGCTGATAGAAATCTCCAACAGCTAGAATTGCTATATTTCCAAACACCTTCTTAGATTGTTTGATTTGGGACAGTCTCCCATGAATGTATGTCAGAAGCTTGTGATCTACCATTGAAATTTCATCGATGATAAGGAGTTTTAGATGCTCATATTTTGCTCTCAACGAGTTTAAAACATTTTCTCCTAAAGGCGTGTACGGGAGTTTTATGTTTTTGCTTATGTCGAATGCAGAATGCAAAGTCATACCGCCAATGTTAAAAGCAGCTGTTCCAGTTGGTGCTGTAATAAGTACTGATAAAGCATTAGGCGTGTCTAGTGTCTTAGACAGAATTCTGTTTGTTTCGTGATATATGCATTTTATGAGATGCGATTTTCCTGTTCCTGCTCCTCCGGTCAGGAAGAGATAAAAGGGATCAGGACACTTTTTCCATGCAACCTCAAATACCCATTCTCTGATTTTGTAGAATACTTGCTGTTGAACGGCATTCATTTTTCGTAATGACTCTTGTACTTCACATGGCGATATCTTGGGTTTCTGATATTCTATGATTCCAGTTGTGGTAGATGTAGTCGATTTTTTCGACGTCCCCAGAAGTTCAATATCTGGGGATACGTCTTCCTCCTCAATATTGACTTTGCTTTTATTTTCCTCTTGCAGTGAGAGTCTTTCTGCTTCACATTCCGGAGCAACTGCTGCCCACGCATCCTCTCCGATGCGCCCCTCTTGTACATCATCCCAAGCTTTCTCCAAATCATCAGCATCTTTCTCAAAGCGAACTCTGTTTTCATTTATGATGCTCAATATGGATCTTTTTCCAACTTTTCCATTCAAAATGCAATGTTCAAATGTGAAGAATTCATCAGGTTTTATTAATGGAGCCCTGTGTGGCAGGTACAGTTGAAGTAATGTCAGGAAGTAATCATTTTGCTGCTTCAAACGATTGAATCTAGGGTAGCGGATAACTGCATGTTTTCCCTCCTTTCTTTGTTTTATGTACCCTAGTCCATTTTGTAGTTCATAAGACAATAGCTTTGCACCTCTTTTCGAAGACGTTGGGGGTCTAGAGACTGGATGGAAAGAGTAATATGAGCAAAACTCTGCCAAACATTGTTCCTCAAAGGTTTGTGCAAATGGTCGTGCGTAGTATTTGTCAATGATGGAGGACATCCATATATTTTCACTGTTTCCTTTTCGTGATTTTAGAGTGTTTAAAGGAAGACTCATTTTAATTGCATTGCTTCCTGTGGGAATGAATACAACTTCTCTGGAGCACTCTTTCAAGTGCATGCTGCAAACTCTATAGACGGCTTCTTGTGCAGACACCTCCCTGTTTTGGATGTAAACCTGAGAAATGTGTTTCATTGCAGACGCAGCATCTTTATTGCCCTCCCTTGCTTCTTTTTGTGCATTTGCTATAAGTTCACCGACTTCGGCCTCTGCTTTGCTAATGTATGATAATATATAGGCCACACATGAGTAAGGGTCCATAACGTATTGAATGTCCATGTTTGCATTCCATGCTCGTAGTAAAGTTGGATTATAATTGTTCACCCAGCCATCCACAACATTTCTTTTGTAATATATCGTGTTTTTCTTTGTTATTGCAGCCAAGCTTTCTTTAAATTTGGAATAGGTGATATTACAAGCATGCAGAATGTCTTCAAATGTTAGGTCAGTGTCAGTCGAATTGATTTTACTCCATACATCTTTAACAATTTGTTTTGGAGATTTCTCGACGGTTGGTTTGCATAGCTGTTCAATTTCCGGAAGTGTTGGCCTGTTTGCGTTTGCGGCTTGATTCTTTTCTCTCTCTTTGTTTTCATTGTCATCTTCTATGACTTTTATAAGAAATGTCTCCTGCACTGGAGGCCTTGGGAAATTGAATCGACATGTCGTTGAGTTTTTCTTGCAGGACTTTGTGTGTGACTTACTGTGAACCTGTACAGCATTTACAATATCATGGAGTTCGGAATCTTTTATCTCATTTGGCATGGAACATGATATATATTTATCAACAAAACTACAGATTTCTTTCTCTGTGTTTTCGTTTAACTTTGGCGCGTTTCTGACCCACAATAAACAATGGATATGTGGAGAACCGCGCTGCTGAAACTCTGTTCGGTAGAAGAAATCCGCTACGTCTCCGACTGGTTTTGAAGGGGACATAATTAAATCTGTGAAAAGTCGTTGCACACGGTTATTAAATAATCGGGCACACATCACGGGATTTTCCTTTATAAGGCGGCATTTATCTGTCCATTCAATGTCTATAGGTGACCTCAGGTCTTCAGTGTCTTTCAATGCATTAATTGTTTCATCCCACCTAGTTTCACCAGCGGAAAACGTTACGAACCATGTCGGTATTCCTAACTGCCGAATCATGGCGTACAGATCTTTCATTGTTCTTTGCCAATATGGAGGTGATCCTCGTACTGGTTGTAAGAAACGAAAACCAGCATCTGATTTCAGAATTTTCTGTAAATCACATTCATTAGTAAGCATTGACGCCGTTACTTTCGCTCCATCATCAGTGTTTTCTTTTCCTTTGCGCAAGGCTATTGATATGTTTGATCGAATATTTGACATTTCAATCATAAATTGAGCAAAGAAGATGAATTGGTTATCTCTTGCAAATCTCTTGTCAGCGCTAAATAAGCGGGCATTAAAGTATTTTGTAGGGGACAGTTTTATAGGTCGATCTTCAAAGTATCCAAATTTGCCATCTGGATAAAGGTTTGGGAAAGCCATTGCATCCGCCCCTTTCTCTTGGAAGATGCTTTGCGGTGTTTGATTTTCACCGGGCGCAATGCAAAATACTTTGTTCTCTGTGTCTAGATACTCTTGCCCTAGATCAACCGGCTGAGAACACTTTTCTACTGGTTGTGCGTGCATTGTTAAGTTCTCCATCTCTGAACTTTGATTGTCATTTTCTTCATCCTAGGAATCTTCTTGTGTGTCTATTTTCACTAAATCTGAATCGGTTTCTGGATCAAACCAACTGTCACTGAGTGCTATATTTGAATACAGTGGGTTATGTCTTTTCAGGAATTCAACTGCTTCTATTACTTTTTCTGGTCTAACCCATTCGTACTGGTAATGACCTTTGTATGACAACTTCCTTTTAAGTTTGACTTTGACCATCTGAGCTTCGTTAATAGTTCTAGGCAGAGAAGTCGCGATACTACTGATGTTCAATGGAACGTTTACAACTTGTCCTTTGACACCTTTTTGCCCACCTTTTGGAAGTGAGAGGAGTTTCATAAAAGGAATTCGAAGAGCAACAAGTTGTCTCTCGAGCTGGTTTAAAATTTTTAGCTCCTCGGGCACGGTTGTAAGTTGTAATCCATTTTCAAGAGCCTGCGGTGGCATGTTACCTGCACACAGATGTCTGTCACATGTATGGCAGATCCACTCTTTCGACTCGTAAGTATATTGTCCACTTAGACATTTTGTAGCATTACTTGAGAATTTGCCATTTAAATACTTGGAGCGGCTGCAGATCTTTACTTGTGATTTGTAAAGCGTCCTTGCACACACTGTACACGGATATGTTGGAATTTTCTTGATGTTTTTAGTAAATGTTTGCAATGCAACATGAAGATTTTTGCGTCTCTGATTCACAGCTTCCTTTTTCTTAACTTGAATGGTTGGATTCTTGTGATATTGTTGGAATAGTAGCCTTTTCAGTTTATGGCGAAATAAAGAATTTGATGCGTACCGTTTTATCGAGGACGCTTTTACATTTTGCCTAAAGATGGTATTAGATCTGTACTTCCTGAGTGAGTAGTATAGAACACATTTCTTGAAGTTCAAATTTTCGCTGTATTTTTTCCTAGATGCTGATTTAACATGCTGCCGAAATGCTTCATTTTCTCTGTATTTCTGTTTAGAAGCTGCTTTTGTACGCTCTTGAAACATTAAGTTCTCTTTGTATTTCTGCTTCGAAGCTGCTTTTCTTCGCTGTTGAAACTTCTTGTCATCCTTGTATTTCTCTTTAGAAGCTGCATTTTTACGCTGTTGAAACATTCTATCTTCTTTGTATTTCTTCCTAAAACTTTCTTTTTTACGCTGTTGAAACATTCTATCTTCTTTGTATTTCTTCCTTAAACTTTCTTTTTTACGCTGTTGAAACATCCTATCTTCTTGGTATTTCTTCCTAAAACTTTCTTTTTTACGCTGTTGAAACATTATGTCCTCTCTGTACTTCTGTTTAGAGGTTGCCTTTTTACGCTGTTGAAACTGAATGTCTTTTTCGTATTTCTGTTTAGAAGCTGCTTTTTTACGCCGTTGCATTCCTTGATCTGAGGAATATTTCCTATTTTCATTCTTCCTATACTTTTCTTTGTTTTTAGCATACATTTCTTTTTTCTTGAGAGCCTTCGGATTTTCATTTTGAACACTAAGAACAACATCATAATGATTCAAATTTCGATGGTAAAGATATATTCCATCTGTTGCCTCAGATTGTAAAGGACTGTGCTTCATCCATTTCCATTGCGGTCCATATTTGGAATACACATAAATATCAACTTTAAGCATATCTGCGGCAGCAAATATTTCTGTTTCAGTTGCCCATATTCTTTCGCATCGCATTGAAGTATTTGATAAATATTCTTCCACATTTTCGCAGTACTTGTTTGGAAGAGCGCTGCTTAATTCTTCCTGATGCGTAAGGAGATGATTGCAAATATGTGACCTGACTTGAGAATGGTATTTTTCTGTACCAGTGATTATATATGACAAGGCACTAAAAAAACAATTTCCATCAGGTTTTGTTTCGTGCAGCTGTGATGGATATCCTAATTCTGAAGATGTTTTCTCATAATCAAACGGACAGTTTATTGTGTCTAGTTTAAGATGTTCTGCAGTTTGTAATCTCCATTTTTCATTCACTGGATTATATATCAAGGAGGGTTTTAATTCATTTCGCTTTAATCGTTTTCTTCTTTTGTCTTTGTCTCTTTTTTCCCGGCTTGACAGGGATCTTTTTCGCTTGGCCATTACTGTACTTTCATTGTCCGTGATTAGCTTGATTTAGGCCTGAAAAGATAGTTTTATTGTATTTTCACATTCTATGATAGGAGGTATTTTTAGAACACGTTTATACCTCCTTAGGAGCTCTTTATAAATTTTCATAAACCTTGTAATGTAGATAATTTAGTACATTATTTGCATTTGTAAAAATTCCCCTGGTGTATTAATTTACAAAGAGCTCCTGTGAATAATAATCTACATTCATATATGTGTACAAACAAAACAGCAGACCAAGGATATGGCTGTTTGCCGCCACACATTGACTATTTTCAGCCTTTTAATGTGAGTTTTGATGAATCCATTATATATTTAACTTCTTTGCAGGCATTCTAGTGAAGGTGTGACGCCCAGCACCGCGACGAGGACGCCAGCCATTTTCAAGCCATGCGTGTTTGTCTGATTATGGCATAATTTCTGCACATTTTGGAATGTTTTTCCCAATTTCATTTTTTGTAAAATTTATCTTACATTTCAAATACTTTCTTTGTAGTAAACTCACATGGCTTGAAGGTGCCATATTTTGTTTTATTTATCATGACAACTAATGTACAAATACAATCCTACTTGGCAAAAAATAAAGTTCTTATAAATAACTGTTTGCATTATAAAACGGAATAACATATTGGTGATACATATAAATGTAATTATCATGGTTACATATGTGACTTGTTATTAATAACAAAACTAGAACATAGGTTATATTCAAGTGGCAAAAACAATTGTTACTTCACTGCACCACTTTGCTTACAGAACTAAACAAGTTTTTATCTCAAAGATTATTTTTATCGCAGAGCTTTATGAGCAATGTACAAACTCAAAAAGTAATTGTAACAAGTCGCCAGAAACAGGTATAGTTTTCCTGCATCTCTGACTCGACTTTGGCACAGTTATTTTCTGGCACCATGGGACCACTGTTTTCAGTGTCCTTCATCCAGCTTGAATTAAGTTTATGTACAGGAAAGTGACATTTTCTTTTTGAATAACTGTTTTTTCCATTTTTTTTTTTCTGACAGTTCTGTAGTTTTGCAATTTCTCTAGAGCGTCGATCAGCTTTCGTTTTTAGACATAAAATATGCATGTTTCACTACAATTTTGAATCGTCTTTTACAGTTTCAATTTGTGGCATCACTGGACTATTAATGTCAATAACTTCTTTTGACTTCGAAGTATCACTGTTCTCAACCTCCTCTGGCACCACAGAACCACTGGTGTCAACATCCTCTATCCAGCTTGTGTCAAGTTCACTTTCTAGATCTCTGCACTTTTCCTTGAGAACTGCTGAATCATTTTCAAGTTTTCTGCTTTTTTCGTTCAGTTTTTGCACTTCCTTTTGAGACTCGTGTAATTTTCGTTTTAGGATTGCTTCCTCTTTTTTAGTGGCAGTAAGCTTTAGTTCTAGTTCATGATGATGTTCTCTAATAACTTTCACATCCTGCTGAACTTGATTCGTTATAGAATCGACAAGTTTCAGGTGCTCCTCCGATAACTTATCTTCTTGGCGCATTTTGAAACAAAGACCAACCAACTGCAGAAGCGATGCATCAATTGTGTTCATTTTCTGAAAAGAGCATCCATATGCTAATGTTTTTCAAATCTTAATGTTTATATGCTTCAACATTAAATGTACTGAAATGTATTAAAATCAGTTCTATCTATTTTTCCTCATGTGTCCATAATATAACTAGTATATACTTTAACAGCATAATTAGTTTTTCCCAAACAAGGTATCTGGCTATTTGCCACCACACATTGACTTTTTAGACCCTTTCTGATCTTTTCTCGAATGACTTTCATCTAAATTAATTTCTTGCAGGTAAGTAAGTGAAGGTGTGGCGCCCGGCACCGCGACGGGGACGCTAGCCATTTTTTCAAGCCATGTGTATTCGCCCAATAGCTATATTTCCTTCACTTTGAATTCTGATATATTCTCTGCATCAATTTGTTTAAGAGGAACTATTTTCATCCTTTACATTAATGTTTGATAAAGGCCTACCACATGGCTTGAAGGTGCCATGTACCAATTTTTGTTTAATATTGGTCCTTTAATCCGAAGGACCATTTATTTAATCGTTAAAATTGCGACCACATCTTTTGAAGCCCGGGTCGCGTTTGTTTTTTTTTTTTTTTTTGCATATATATTTTGCAATCACATTTTTTGAAGCCCGGATCGCGGTCGAGCTTTGTTTGTACATCTTTCGGGATAATTTGCGACCACATCTTTTAGGCCCGGGTCGCGGTCGAGCTCATTTGCTTGCATAGTATTCTTTTTGCTTGTACTCTTTGATTGCGACCACAGTTTTAAGCCTGGGTCGCGGTCGAGCTCATGTTGCATGTATTTTTCTCATCATAAAGTTTTGCCTTTATATCCACCCGTCCGGTAACCGTGACCAATGTGCTGGGCTAGAAAACTCTAAACCAGACACAGGTCCGTCCAGCTTGAGAGCTAAACTTTCCAACAGTCAAACTCTCCCCAGGCGGACCCTCGCCAACCCAATATAGGGTTTCTGCGGCAGAGAAAGCTGTCTGGCCTACTTTCTCTGAATGGAAACAATCATGAGCTCGAGGGGGGGTTAAGCTTGCATGAAAGTCTTCACACTATAGCCTGAGCACTAGCGTCAATTGCCCGTTACACTTTACAATTTGTTCACCGATGCGATTAACAATTCCCTCTTCCCAACAGAGGATAGCATGACAACTGATAGACCAAATGTCTCTGTGATCCAGTTCTGCTTGTCGACCACAATTGTCTTAGCAGGAGTTCGTTTCTCGAATCAACCTGCTCCATGGTATCGGAAATAGCATCTGGGACATACCTACTTAACGATCTGAGGCCTAGTAAGAGGGGAAATACATCTTGCCCGGTTGAGGTTGAT